TTTTATTACTGTTCTTCAGGCCAGCAGATTTCCTCATTCTCAGGCAACAAAGGTTATGTCCATTTCAGCCCCACAGTTCTTGGAAATGATTGGAAATCCTGTCAAATTTTGTCACTAGGATGCTTGTTGGCAGGGTTACAGCTACTCTTTTGATGCTTTTTTTCTGACTTAGAAAAAGGCATTCCTTTGGGGAAGACTCAAGCCCAAGAGGGCAAAGCTTGGCAAGTGACCACCCCTGTCAGCTGGGTGCTCTGTATAGGGCAGAGCCTGCTCAGCCATACATGCTGGATCTGGTCATCAATTCTTCCTTTCAGTGCTATTATGAGTTCTCATATTTTTCTGATTTTTTATTACGCATTTAATTTAGAGTCTGAAACGCAAACAGCTAGTCCAGATGTCATCCTAAATCGGAAGTCAACCAGATTCTATTAATAGTGATACTTCACATCAAAGATTTGATGGAGATCATTGATGCATACCTGACATTCCAAGTTGTAGTAAGTGTTTATGCTGGCAGCATTCCTTGTCCCTAGATTTATATTCAGAACGCTCAATAAAATATTAAGCACTTTTGAAAATAGAACCCAAAATATTTTTAATGAGCCTGCAGTTCTCATTTTCATCCCATTCTACCCCATAGTACTGCTTGTTAACCTAATGTATATTAATATATTATGAGTAAAGGAAAATTGAAGTGAAATTATGTCTTCTTTTAAAGGACTAATCCTCAAATAAATGTCTCAACTCAATTCCTAACCTTAATAAAATATACTGTATGTCAGTTCTAAAAAATTCATCATCATTATAGAAAAAGGAAAATGTTTGACATTATCTTAGCCTAAAATTCATCTACTTACCCCAGCATTCATGCATGTTTCACACACTGGAGAAATATGCAGCCATTTCTCTTTATGGTTACAACATCATGGGATTGAAACAAGAGAAAAATATATATTTAAGTAATGTGTATGTTTAATTTTTTTATACCTTATTCAAAGCTCTTAAAACCTCCACATTCAAAATGCTTATGCATTTAGTTTTAGATTCTGGGTATATTATTAAACTCCACTGTTTCAATTAGAAATCACCAAAGCAGCTCTTTCAATTTGCTCAAAAGTTGGGTGAGTTAGACTTCATTAAAATAAAAAAATTTCTGCTCTGCAAAAGACCCTGTCAAGAGAATGAAAAGACCAGCCACATACTGGGAGAAAGTATTTACAAAAGATACATCTGATAAAGGACTGTTGGCCAAAATACACAAAGAACTCTTAAAGTTCAACAAGAAGAAATCAAAGAACACAAATTTAAATGGGCCAAAGATCTTAACAGATATCTCACCAGAGAAGATATACAGATAGATGGCAAATAACCATATGAGAAGATGCTCCACATCATACGTCATCAGAAAAGTGAAAATTAAAACAATGAGATATACTACATGCCTATTAGAATGGCCAAGATCTAGAACACTGACAACACCAAATGCTGGCAGGGATGTGGAGCAACAGGAACTCTCATTCATTGCTAGTGGGCATACAAAATGGTCCAGTCACTTTGGAAGACAGTTTGACAGCTTCTTTCCAAGCTAAACATACTAAATATACATATGATCCAACAATCCTACTCCTTGGTATTTACCCAAAGGAGTTGAAAACTTATGTCCACACAAAAACCTGCACACAAATGTTATAGGAGCTCAATTTATAATCGCCAAAAATTGGAAGCAACCGAGATGTCCCTTAGTAGGTTAATGGATAAATAAACTGTGGTACACCCAGACAATGGAATATTATTCAGTGCTAAAAAAGAAACAAGCTACCAAGTCATGAAAAGACCCGGAGGAAACTGAAATGTACATTACTAAGTGAAAGAAGTCAATCTGAAAAGGCTACATACTTTTTGATACCAACCATAGGACTTTCTGGAAAAGGCAAAACTATGGAGACAGTAAAAAGATGAGTGGGAGGGATGAATAAGTGGAGTCCAGAGGATTTTTGTGGCAGTGAAACTACTCTAGTATAGTATGATACTACAATGATGGATACATGTTATTATATATCTGTCCAGGATGAACCCTAAAGGAAACTATGGACTTTGGAAGACAATGTTATGTTGATGTAGATTCATCAGTTGTGACAAATATACCACTCTGGTGGGAGATGTTAATAATGGAAGAGATTTGGGGTGTCTGGGTGGCTCAGTCGTTAAGCGTCTGCCTTCTGCTCAGGTCATTATCCCAGGGTCCTGGGATCGAGCCCCGCATCGGGCTCCCTGCTCAGCGGAGAGCCTGCTTCTCCCTCTCCCACTCCCCCTGCTTGTGTTCCCTCTCTCGCTGTGTCTCTCTCTGTCAAATAAATAAATAAAAAATCTTTAAAAAAAAAATAATGGAAGAGATTTCTGCATAAGTTGGGATAGCGAGTATATGGGAAATCTCTGTACCTCCCACTCAATTTTGCTATAAACCTAAAACTGCTATAAAAAAATTCTTTAAAAAAACAGTGCTTTAGGGCGCCTGGGTGGCTCAGTTGGTTAAGCGACTGCCTTCGGCTCAGGTCATGATCCTGGAATCCCTGAATCGAGTCCCGCATCGGGCTCCCTGCTCGGCGGTGAGTCTGCTTCTCCCTCTGACCCTCCCCCCTCTCATGTGCTTGCTCTCTCTCATTCTCTCAAATAAATAAATAAAATCTTTAAAAAAAAACAAAAAACCAGTGCTTTACTGTCATATTTAACTCAATTACTTGTTATAAGAATGTGTTCAACTGATCACAGTGATATACGAGAAGTTTCTGTTTGTTTAAACATTTTTTTGCAATATGTTTTGGCTTTGACTTTTAAAAGTAAACCGAATATTAAAAAGTGCACCGTAACTTGGTAGGTTTTTAAATCTTGGATTTACAGGCCTAAGTAAAGAAGTACAAACATCCATAGCTCAGAAGTGTAAGGAGGAAGTGTGGCAACCAGAACCTGAGCCTCCTGCTCTAACAGAGAAAAAATACAATCCCAGGAAGAGCAAGATGCTGGGCTCCCCTGAAAAGATAGCAGCTTCTGAGTTATATGGGACTATATGACCAGAAAAAATGGAGCTCAAGAATTCCAGACCTAGGCTTGAATCTTTCAGGATGAATAAAAAATCATTGGCTGAAGACTTAATCAGGCATGGATTGGCCAAGATCACCAGGACAAGAAAGTTCTCAAGTTCAGAAATTTTGTCAAGTCTATGGATATAAACTATGTTCTAGAGCAGGCTATGCCTGATAACAACATATAGTATTCATGGTCATTTTAATCCAGGCTCTCAAACTATTACTTCGATGTCCTTAGTATGCTTGTGCTTGGTGAGGAGGTCTTTTTCAAACATTATCAACCCATGTCAGATATGTGCAAAAGTGGTGAGATTTTTAAAAATATTCTTAAGTTAAATAAATAAAATAGGAAGCTTCCTATTACTATGGACGCTTCTGAGAGCGCTATATGCATTCAGCCAGATGCAGTCATGCTCCAATCAATGTGGATAAGTCCTACACTTCAGTCCTCTCAGGAAGCTTCCACCTGTGCCATGAATTTGACTGCTATTTTTGTGCGAGGAATCTGACGGAAAACCTTCGTGGTGGCAAGGAGCCAGCCTGATACGAGTGACTCTGGACAGTATCTTTCGTTTGAAGAGCATTCTAAAATTTACCAGGTGCTTTTGCTTACATTATTGGATTGATCCTCACAGCCATCCATCCAGTGAAGTAGGTTATCACTGTCTCCATTTGTCAGATAAAAAGTAGGGTTTGTTAGGTTAAGCAACTTGCCTGAGCCAGGAGGTACAAGAGCTAAAACTGAGAGTTCAAACACTTCTAGAGGTATCTGTCTAAACTTTCTGTCTTAGAGAATATTCAAGCATGGCTAGGAAATGGAATAATTGAGAAATCTTAATGCATGAGAATTTTCTCTTTAGGTCTACTTGTGTCTAGCAACCATTCAACTTTAGCAAGTACATTTAGGGAAAGGTTATTACAACTGGGGAAAAACCAAATGGGTGTGCTTGTGTGTGAGTGTGAGAGAGAGAGTGTGGGTGTGTGTGTAGTGTTTTTGTTTCTGTGTGGACTTTAATCACCTTAATCACATTCACAGGATGAGACAAAAATGCAGGTTCCAGGCTTCACCCCAATTGCTCTGAACTCTAAGATATCTAGGGGTGAACTGGTAAATCTACATCTTTAACAAGCATCTACGATGATTCTTGTGTACGCTAACTCACATACAGGGTGACGTTAGACCTGGCTAGTTTCTGTTCAGTAAAAATCTCTCCAAGGCCCTCAGGTGACCTTTAACCTGGACATTGTTGACTTTAGGCGCCGGTACTTTTCCCTTTGGGGCGCGGCGGGGTGGGGCTTAGATGGGCGGGCCTTGGATAGGCGGGGCGAGGGTGGGTGGGACCGTTGGGGTCCGGCCTGGCCTGGCCGGCTGGAGGGTGAAGGGTTAAAAGCTCCATGCGCAGGCGCTGCCCTCTGAACTGGAACGTAAAGCAACTTCCGGTCGACTCCCTCGGCCCGGCGCCGCCGATCCGGGTCGTGAGAGACAGGCGCGGAATCCCTGAACTGTGAGTAAGAAACTTCGCGAACGAGTTGGTCTGTCGGAACCCGTCGAGCACAACGGCGGGGAACTTGTGTGTGAGCGAAGGCGGTGCGCTGGCAGTACGGGTGCCGCAGGGAAAGAAGCCGAGGAGCTGCGGAGACGACCAGTTCTCAGAGTGGAGAGGGACGTAGTGCGAGAAAAACCACCCGGGTGTGCGTCCCCAGGCGGACCCGGGAGGGGCTTTCCGAGCCCGCGACGTCAGCGCAGCAACGCTCTCCCCGCCGCGACGCTCTGGGGAGGGATCCAGCCAAACTGCGCGTCCACCGCTCGCGGTGACTTGACTTCGCGGGGAAAGAGGGGAGGCAGGGCTTGCGATGTCAGGGTGAGCCGTGGGCCCCGTCCCCAGAGTCCCAGACTCCCTTCGGGGCAAGGGTTGTCTTCCGGAAGCAGTACTATCGTGGTTATTCTTTCGAAAACTTTTAAGTAGGTCTTTCTGTTGTTCTTCCCAAGGTTGTTGCACAATTGCGCTGCTTTCCTGTGGGGTGTCATCACAGCCGTGTCAATGAGAAGTGGGGTAACTTCCCCGAGGGTCATGGAGAGAATGGGTGGGCGAGGCGGAAAAAGCAAAAGCAAACCCTACCCCCAGGGGAAACCCAGGCGTTAGGTAGGGTCTCGACTCCGGTGTAAACTGAGTAGTAACGAGTTACAGGTGTAAAAAGCTCTGCTTGTCAAGAAGTGAAGAAAGTAGGGGGAAGATGCTCAAACCAAAGAGTAATTTGGTCTTCCTTGTTATACTGTAGCAATCAAGAATTGAACAGCCTTGCTATGTCAAGTGTCCTTTATTTCTCTGATGCTTTTGACAAGTTGTCCAAAGGGAGAAATGGTAGTAACGGAAGTGAAGTGACATGAAAATGAAGGAAAATGAAATGATCTGCTTCCTTACCCTGGTGGAATACACATTTCAAACGAGGGGTAGCAGAGAAGTAAGCACTGTATTCTGTTGAAAAATTATTTTTTCATCATTTGGGTGGAGAGGGAAACCCTAAAATGATACGACCATGTATAAAGTCGGCAATTTATAGAGAAAATGAAACTTTTTTCTCCGTTCTCTCCCCAGTCGTAGTACTTCACAAGGCCTTCCACATCACTCTTACATGTGTATAAACATGTTATTTCGTTTCCTTGTGAAAGTGAGAGTATATATGCATACCATTCTGTTATCTGCGTTTTCAGATAAGAAAAAATATATGGCGGAAATCTTGCCGTACATAGCTCTACTTTATCTTAACGTCAGCATGGTATTCTTTGACAGGTTGTACCATAATGTAGTTAACCATCTCTTAACGTGACTTGCCCATACATTTTGCCCATTATTCTTCAGAATTATTTATCTATATTCTATTAGGGTGCAGATATATTAATTCTTTGTGAAATATATGGCAGATATTTTCAAGAACTGTCAGTCTTTTGGTTTAAAATACCCAGGCTTTCTGTTACTTAAGAAGGCATTTCCCACTCAAAAAATTATTTTCCTGTATTGTCTATTCTTTTTTAGTTTTTTATGCTTTATTCATTAAAATATCTGAAAATTATTTTTGTACATTATATAAGGTAGGGATTTAGCCGTTTTTCCTGAAATCATTTGTTGAAATCATTTCTTCTGACTAGAATACTACTGTATTATAATAAATTTCCATGTATATATGGGTCTTTTATTATTATTATTCTTTTGCTTTATTCTATTTGTCTATTCCTATACAAATACCAGTCTCCTGATTATAGCATGTTCTAGTAGTTCATAAAGCAAGTCCTTCATTTATCTTTTTCAAAATTTTCTTGAATATTATTGCATTCTTTTTGAGGTAAAGTTTAAAGTATAACTGTTCATGTTTCATTAAAATAATCCTTTGGGGGGCGCCTGGGTGGCTCAGTCGTTAAGCGTCTGCCTTCGGCTCAGGTCATGATCCTGGGGTCCTGGGATCGAGCCCCACATCGGGCTCCCTGCTCGGCGGGAAGCCTACTTCTCCCTTTCCCACTCCCCCTGCTTGTGTTCCCTCTCTCGTTGTCTCTCTCTCTGTCAAATAAATAACTAAATAAAAAAAATCGTTAAAAAAATAAAAATAAATAATAAAATAAAATAATCCTTTGGGGGCACCTGGTTGGCTCAGTCATTAAGCAACTGCCTTTCACTCAGGTCATGATCCCAGGGTCCTGGGATCGAGCCCTGCATTGGGCTTCCAGCTCCCGCTTGTGTTCCCTCTCTTGCTGTGTATCTCTCTAATAAATAAATAAGACTTAAAAAAAAAAAAAAAAAAAACAGGGCGCCTGGGTGGCTCAGTTGGTTAAGTGACTGCCTTCAGCTCAGGTCATGATCCTGGAATCCCTGGATCGAGTCCCGCATCGGGCTCCCTGCTCGGCGGGGAGTCTGCTTCTCCCTCTGACCCTCCCCCCTCTCATGTGCTCTCTCTCATTCTCTCTCTCTCTCAAATAAATAAATAAAATCTTAAAAAAAAAAACTATTAAAATAATCCTTTTGGAGGTTTTAGCTATTATATTCACTAATATTTTGTGGCTGGTACCTAGATGAGTGATTCTATATCTGGCCAACTTTCTAAACTTACTAGTTTTTTTTGTTGTTTTTTTTTGTTGTTTTTAAAGATTTTATTTATTTATTTGAGAGAGAGAATGAAACAGAGAGCATGAGAGAGGGGAGGGTCAGAGGGAGAAGCAGACTCCCCGCTGAGCAGGGAGCCCGATGCGGGACTCCAGGATCATGACCTGAGCTGAAGGCAGTCGCTTAACCAACTGAGCCACCCAGACACCCTAAACTTACTAGTTTTAATAAATTGTTTCCCTTGAATTTTCTAGGAAGAGTCATCTAAATATAATCTTATCTTTATACTTCTTTTCTTTCTTTGATTTAGTGAATTGCTAGTTTCTCCAGCGCAGTGATATGTAGTAACAGTGATTCTGGCCATCCATATATTATTTCTTAGTTTGTGGATGTTTTTACTATGTCATCATTAAATAAGGGGTTTACTATTAATTTCCAATAAATTCTGTTCATCAAGGAAATGTCTTTAATATTTCTAGCTTACTAGGATTTTTGCAGAGAATGGATTTTATTTTGTTTTATTTTAGAGAGAGAGCAAGGGGGGAGGGGGCAGAGGGGGGGAGAGAGAGAATCTCAAGCAGGCTTCATGCTCAACTCAGAGCCTGAAGCGGGGCTCGGTCTCACGACTCTGAGATCATGACCTGAGCCGAAATCAAGAGTCAGATGCTTAACCTACTGAGCCACCCACACACCCCACAGAGAATGGATTTTAGGCCAAGGTTGTATGTGTGTGTTTACATTGACTAGCACATTGAGAGCATTTTGAATAATGGATGTTGAGTGTTCATTTGGTCTGTATATTTCTGGTTGTTAAGATGATGTCTTTCCATTACAACTTAACTAAACATTTTTATTAGAAGTGGAAGTTGAATTTTGTCAAATGGCTTTTGGCATCTGTCATGACCTATTATGTGCTTTTCTTTGACCTCTTAGGATGATGGGTTATTTTATTTGAATTCCAGTTTGTGAATCCACCTTATGTTTGGTTATGGTGTAATATTTAAGCATATAGGTTTCTTTTTGGTAACATTTTTACTTAAAATCAGTATTTGGGTATCATCTGTAGCCATCATTTTCTGTGTTATCTTTGCCAGAGTTTGATATTAGGGTTATGAGTTTCCTAAAAAAAACTGAGAAGAATTCCTGCTTTCTCTGCACTGAAGTTAGTTTAAACGGCATAAGAGCTCTCTGTTCTTATAAGATTTGAAAGAATTCACTCATGAAACCATGTTGGCCTGAAAGTACATTGTTCTTAAAATAGCAACAATATTCAGCAAAAAGCCTCAGAACTTAAAAAAAGCAAACAAACAAAAAGTCCACAGAGTAAATCCAAATAAAGGGAAGAGTTTAAGATACCAATATATTGAAAACAACTTCTGTGTTGATCCTGGTCATTTTTCTCCCCTCCCCCACCTCTTTTTTTTTCCATAGTCAGAGAAAATGCTATATAGGTAGGCTGAGGCTGATAATAAAATGTATTGCTGTTCTTTCTTTCCTCCACTCCAGTTATACTATAAAGTAAAGGGTGTTGCGTCTACATGGGCAAGCTCTTCTCTGCCCTGAAGGAAACCAGGAATGACACTCAACTGGGAAAGCATCAGTTTCACTTTGTTGTCATTAGCTTCCCAATTTTGTTGGGAAATTTCTTTCTTTAGAGGTACTAACCGAGCTAACATTCTACTGTAGCCAAATCCCATAGGAGAGTTTCAAAATGAGTAGGTGAAAAAAATACGCAAGCTCAGCATGACGGTACTTACTTAATATGAAGTGAAAATTATTAACATTAGCATGGTCCAGATATGTGTGTGACATGTGTATTGTGTACTCTTTGGTAGGGTTATTACCTTTTATAAGTGATTATTTCAGACACTTTTTGATCACTCAAGAATATGACCTTAAGCAGGTAATGTAATTTATCAGTATACATCTGTAAACTGTGGAGGACTTCAAGACACTCATAAGTGTTATTTACAGAGAGATGCAGGCATTATGTGAATGCTTGCATATTTGAGTATTTTAATTGATCGTATATCAGTCTAGATAAAATAATTATTGACATGATTTAGGAGTGTGCCATATAACAACGAAAGACTTTGCATGTTTTTTAAAGCCATACTCATTATCCAAAAGTAAATGGTAAATAAAAATAAGTAGCCTGTGATGTAAAACTTCACTATTCTAACTATTCTGACATGATGCATTAACTGATTAGCTGTACTGCTGTTTTGTATTTTGTTTGTTTTCTGACACCTTATAAGCATGTATATTACTGTTTAATTTCACTAGTTTGAGTTTCATTATGTCAGGCCAAATTTTGATTTCTGGTTCCTGTAGGATTTATGTTGTGGCCGCCATTCCCCTTCCCCCCATCTCCTTGCTGCTGTGGTTTTCACTCGTGGGTAGAGGGAAAGAGGAGGCTATTATCTAGAATAGGTAACAAAAATCTCTTTATAGTCTGGGACCAAGATTCTGAGTCATTTTCAAAAAAAGAATAGAGAATATTAAATGAACTGCCTTGTGGGTAGATGGCTAATTAGTGTACAGTCTTTTGAACTAGATGTGGTATTTGACACTGTTCAGAACAGTTGAGGAGGACCGGAACAGGCAGCGGTACCAGGTCCTTTGCAACTGAAAACAAGCCTTTGGGACCCATGTAATACGTATGTCATAGTTTTTCAATCCTTAGTCTATAAAAACTTTTAAAATTATGGTGAAATACATAAAATGTGAAATTTACCATCGTAACCATTTTTAAATGTACAGTTTTGTGGTGTTGAATGTATTTACAGTTGTGCAAACAAGAATTCTTAAGGGACCTTAAGGGACTTTGTTTGTTTGTTTGTTTTTTGTTTTAAAGAAAAAGAGTCTGGGAAGTAAATAATACTTATCTCATAGGGGAAATGTCCTGTATAGTAACCTGAGTTTTCTTCCTTTTATCCAGAGATATATCTCTATGATAGTAATTATCAATACTAAATTATGAGAGTAAACTGAGCACTGATGATCTGCATTAGCTTTCACTTACTACCGATACTTTTGGTTTGAAAAAAAAAGTGTCTATGAAAAATAGGTTGTGAAAACAAGGTCTGTCTTTCAAGTCATTTCAGTAAGGAATTATTGGGAATTGAGCAGATAAAGAAGAATAACATGAGTTCTATTTTGATGGTTACTTAAGAAGTTGAAGTTTTAAGAATCTTTGAAATATTTGCATAGAGTGAGGTATAGAGAATTGTTCTCTGGAGCACACAACCGGGTAATTTTGCTAGGGAGAGTGACTTGCTAAATGGACAGAAATCAGGGACTTAGGTCTCTTCAAAATAATATGTTATTTCAAATCACTTGAATAAAATCACCTGCTCTTATGGGATATTTAAATGCTTGTATTATTCATAGCCACTTGTTATGTAGCATTTCCTATAATAGAATTTCATATATTTCCTGTCACTAAATTAGAAATGCCTTTCCTTTGATATTGATGGTTCTTGGCTTTTTAAAATCCTTCTCTCCTTTTTCATAAACGTTAAAATCTCACACATCCAAGGAGATTTAATATTTGTTCCTTCTTCCCACAGTCTTCTCTTACACCTCCTCATACTGAATATAAACTTGGCTCTTGTAGTTCCCCCATCTAAGAATATTCTGCAGAGCACTACTTTATATGATTTATGAAAACAGATTTTTATTATTAAATAGCCATTTTAAACTGCATAAACCCCATTCTACCCCCCATCTCCATATTTTAACATGATCCTTACTCAGGAGAGGATACTCCTTAGGAAGCTGAGGAAGCTAACTGAACAGTGCCATGTTTCTGTTTACCTTGGGGTAGAACATCGTGCCATGCCCAATTTCTCTTTTGGTGTTATACTGTTTGGTTGTGCACTTCAACTCCTAGAATTTGATAAACAGTTTGAGAGAAAGAAGTACTACTGGACCAAAAAAAAAGGAAGTAAGGCAAAGCTGAGACACATGGGTGTGGTCTTTGTGAAATCTTTGAACGCTTAGAAGATAACACAAAAAGTTTCACCAAGTCCGAACATCCAGCAAAATGGGGAGCCTGGTCTGGGGAGGTTTGGGGTTGATCTTTGGGGGGTTCATCTTACCTTGTTTATCCTGATACATTTAGCATACTACCAGCTTATGGAAAAAATATAAAATCAAAATTCTGACACTGCTGGATCAATGGTATTTCAGTTTCTATTATTTCAGCTGCCTGACTGCAACACAGTCACAGTTCTAGTGCAGTGTGCTATGGGTATATCAGAAAGTGAGACCAGAAATGCAAACTGTTATTTTGGAGAATTGGCTGCTTATGTTAGGGAACTCTCTTAAGAGTGGGAAATGATTATAACTGTTAGGAGTGACAGTTCTTTTCCATTACCTTTCTTTAAGTGGGGAAAACACACAGACTTTTTTTTTTTTTAATATTTTATTTATTTATCAGAAAGAGAGAGAGAGCACAAGCAGGGGGAGCAGCAGAGGGAGAGGGAGAAGCAGGCTCTCCGCTGAGCAGGGAGCCTGATGTGGGACTCGATTCAGGGACCCTGGGATCATGACCTGAGCTGAAAGCAGACGCTTAACTGACTGAGCCACCCAGGCATCCCATGGACTTTTGAGTGTCTTTAAAAAATTTACCCTAAGACAAGATGTCCTTTTATTTAAGTGTATTTACTATGTTATTGACTAGTGCTTTTTGCTTCTGATGATTTTCATGGGTGAAAAAGTGAACACAGAGCTAAAATACAAAAAGGGGGTATCTTCCACTAATTTACTTACCTCTTCTTTTGCTAAGGTGCCAACTTTTCTGAAATAGAATGTGAATGCTTATTATTATTCATACCCTAAGGGGTTGGAAAAGCAGATGACTTTCTTTTCTAGGGTGGAGTGGAAGAGGTAGCTCCAGGTGATTTCCTCCCCCCATCCTGAAACTTCTTTGGATTTAAAGTGGCCTCTTACCACAAGTGTAAACCTGGCAGACCACTTACCTAGACACAGTAGTCTCAGCAGTGGGCGAAACCCAACAGAGGGGCCTTTCCCACCTCCCAAATCACCCATACTTGTCTCTACCCCACAAAAAATAGACCTTACTAAAGCCTTATAAATCATTCAGGGTGGAGGTGGTGAGAATCTGATACCTTTAAGCCTGTGATTCTTTTTTTTTTTTTTTAAGATTTTATTTATTTATTTGACAGAGAGAGAGAACACAAGCAGGGGGAATGTCAGGCAGAGGCAGAGGGAGAGGCAGGCTCCCCGCAGAGCAGGGGGAGCCTGATGTGGGACTCGATCCCAGGACCCTGGGATCATGACCTGAGCCAAAGGCAGTCGCTTAACCAACTGAGCCACCCAGGCGCCCAAGCCTGTGATTCTTTTCCAAACTTGAAATCCCAAAATATATAACTAATCAAAGTTGAGTTGTTTTGATTGAGCTGGGCAATTGGTGGAACATTGTTTTGCTTTACACACCCCCAGCCTCAGTAGAGCTCTGGAAGCACCGCTACCTACTTTATTATTTTATTTATTCAGGATTGGTTAACAATCACTTGGCAGAATACTGGTTACCAAAGATAGCAGGCTTAAGATACTTTATATATGAAATAAGAAGTTCGTTTAAGAAGAAGAGGCTGGGAGGAATTAGAGTATCACTTCAGAAGATTCAACATCCAGATAGAGGAGTCCCACAAAGGAATACAGAAGGAAAGAAATTGCCCAAAAAATAATTGAAGAAAATTTCCTAGAAGTGAGGGGTGAACCAGGTGAGTTAAGTACAAGATCAGGAATCAAAATGGCTCTGGACTTCCACAAAAACAAATGGAAGCTAGAAGACAGCATAGCAAAGCTATGACCTGAATCCTTACTTTGCATAGTGAAGACAAGTAAAACTGAAAAATCAGTAATGGCAATATTAGTATGTTATTTAGAGATACCAAGATAAATCCCAGAAAGAACCAAAGGAGCTAAAAATTGTTGCCAAGATGAAGCAGGAAATGAGGGGAAAGAGAGAGCAAGAGATTTACAGTTTTTCTTAAGCCTTGTAAAACTCCTTGACTCCTTAAAATATAGATATGTATAGCTTTGGTTAAAAATAAAATAAAAACTAAATTAGTGAAAAGAGCTAGAGATTGGACTTTCATATCAGAGAGACCTGGATTTATCTGGGTCTTTCATTGTCTAATTCTTTGACCTTAGTCAATTTATATAAACTTTTGAAGCTCGTTTTCTTTATATAGAAAGAAAGGGAAGATAATCTATGCTCCTGCAGAAGAAAAATTAAAATAAGATAGTTTATATAAAGCACCTGGCAAGTAATATTACCTCAGTAGGTATCAATCCCTCCCCCATCCCTAATGTTTCCCATGAGGAAATAGGGAAATGCCTCTTTCATTGTTAGAATGCTTGTCATTCAAACACAAAACTGAAATTGTCCTTATGGTCTGGGGTTGTGTCCCTTTCTGGATTGAAGGCATGTCATTGAGTTCTATGCCCTTTCTCAACTATTTATAGATAGTTTGAGAATTTAGATAGAATTGAGATGATTAGAGTATTGGTGGGTGGAGCATCAAGTGAAAAGGGCCATTGCTACTTGGTAGGAGAAGAGCTATGGTCACACTCAAATTTCTTTCTCAACATGAACTTTGGTGCAAATGCCATTAGTGGAGTCGCTTCCATTAACAGAGGAAACACTTGTATAGACTGGTAAGTTGTGGAAATTTCAGGGAACCAAGATCGTTAGAGTGCTATTGCTCTGGGCCATCTGCCAAAGTATCAAAATACCTTTTTTTTCTTTCTTTTTTTAAGAACATCTTCTACCTTAGCAACTGCTATTTTTGTTTCCAAATTCTATATACTTCTTCTGGAACAATTCAAAAAGCAGATCACTGTGGAACAAAAAAGACACTTTATAAAAAGTCTGTTTCCCTGCCTTGGTACATATTTGTATAGTGTTATACAGAGTACACCGCTTTTCCAGTTATGAATTGACCCCCTATGGCAGTGATTCTAAAATTGTCTCACAACTGCTCTTCCCTCTTCTCCCCTTTACCCCCCACAAAAAATTATCCAAGAAGTCTTGGACAGGTTTGCTGATCTGTTTTTTTAAACCACCCTGGATGATTCTATTGACCCATGTTGTACAGTACGTTCTACCCTAAGCATCCTAAACTGGGGCAGATGAGGGAACTGAGGTCCACAGGAAGGTTAAATGACTTGTTCACCCTCACCGATCAACAAGCGTGTATTCTATACTCCCAAATCTGATTTTATCTTTGGTTGACCAGGCTTTTTAATTTTTCTTTCTAATGTTCAAATTGTCTTAATAAAGAAGAAGCTAATTTATACAGGATGTGGTCTCAATTAAAAATTAAGTTTGGGATCTTTATTTTATAGCATCTTTTTATTTTTTCCAGATACAAAAAGAATGAAAAAAGTGAAAATTTTTAATAAACTCTTGTTTCCCCACAGTAGGGTAGCACAGCAAATGTTAAGATTTACTAGGTCTGAATATTCACATTTAAGAAAAACTGGCTTTGAAAAGAGTGGAAACTCGGTCAATTTGGGCACAGATGCAGGTTGGAGAGGTTGGTTTGTCAGGATACCCAGGGATTTAGGGGTCCTGTCTTCAGGGGTATTCAACAACTGGAATAAGAGTGTGTTACATGGTATTATATCTGGTTTTAAACTTTTATCATACTAAACATTTAAAGTCACACCCTAAACATCTTGGGAATGACTGGAAATAGAGATCTGGAAATCTCTGAAACCTTATTTATTTTCTCATTGGAGTTCTCACAATTACTTCTAAAAAAACAAGTTGTGACTTGCAAACATTTGCCCAACAGCCTCGAGGTGTCCTCAGGGAAATTAAAAGCAGGGGTATGAAGAGCTGGGGAGTCCCGTGCCAGTGTTTAAGAGCACAGAGTACAGCTTTATAATTATATAAGCTTTTGCCTGTTCCCATTTATCATCGGTAGTATTCTCAAGACTAAGTGACCGCTCAGCAATTTAAACTGTGATTTAAGAGAAAATAGGCCTTTTTATGAAAAGGTCCCCTATCTGTCTCCTAAAGTTTTATATCTTCATAGAAGAACTCTTTCCTTTCATAGTGGTTTTGTTTTGTTCTGATACAGTAAATGACACACAGATGCTGGAGGGGTCCCTAATCTGTTAACTTGTGAGATTTTATTTTATTTTTTTTTTTAAGATTCTATTTATTTGAGAGGGAGAGAAAACATGAGAGAGAGAGCGCACAAGCAGAGTGCACAAGCAGGGTGGAGTGGCAGGCTGCCAGCTCAGCCTTACGCAGGACTGATCCTAAGACCCCAGGATCATGACCTAACCAAAGGCAGATGCTTAACGAACTGAGCCACCCAGGCACCCCAACTCATGAGATTTTAACGACTTCTTCAAAAGCAACTTTTCCTTTTATGAATCTTGTGCAGCCTGTGACATCTCATACATTATTGTGTTCTGTTTGGGGGGACTCTTTCAGGATTACTGAAAATATTTTTTTTTTCCAAACTCTTCTGGTTAAGACCAGAAGATAGGTACAAACCATCCTACTCCTGTGCAAGATCATTAGTAATTCTACTTTCTTGTCATAAATTGGGCGGAGTAGAAGGGAGGAGATTTCAAAAAGAATGCATTCAGACACTTTACCAGAGAGTTATTTTCCTGTTATTTAACAGCATGTAAGGGTTAACAGAACAGAGCATTAGATAACATTCCTACCGTTTTGCCTAATAGTCTCTTTACATAAGATAACAGACTTCTGCTAAAATGCCTTAGTGTTTTATGCATTCCTTAGTTTATTATGTACCTTCTTACATTGTCCAGATAGTAAGTGGCCCTATCCTCTTTTTTGCTTTATATTTGAGAGGAAAAGAGTGTACATCTTGTGACATGAAGTGACATGATAATAAATATTACTTCTTTCTCCACTATTTTCCTTTCAAAAATTTGGTTTTTTTGGTAAAAAGATTTGAGCTTGGTTGACTGTCCAAGGACTTACTAGTATCAGAGGACATTCGAAACAGGACTTTAAGAATAGGGATATAAGCAGGAGGGAAGCCATACTTAATATATATTTGTTCCTCTAGATTTTGTTATCACTCAGTTGGCACATTTTTCCTGCCCTGTTGTTAATTATATGTCTTCTATAGTACTCTGTCCAAAAGTGTATTCAATATCTTTCTTCCCAAAACATTTTTCTTCCTGTTTCTCTATCTGGCTATCATCACTGTCTGCCTAGTATTTTGAAAAATATGGCTGGTGAACTATTTTCAACAAAGTCACCTGGGTTACTTATTAAAATGCAGATTCCAGGACCCCATCCCAGGCCAGCTGATTCAGAATTGCAGGAACCTGAATGCTGCCTTCCTGTCGATCCACTTGGCCAACAAATCCCATTGATTCTGACTTAGAAATGTCTCTTTAATGTATTCCATCTTTCACTTCCCCTGCTCTTGTTCAAGCCCATCTTTCACCCAGACTACAGCAATAGTTTCCTATGGATATCCTCACTTTGTCTCCCTCATTAGTTTGTATTCCACAATGGGTATCCAGTTTACCTTTCTAAAACATGTTTATCTCCTGCTTGAAAATCCTCCATTACTTTTTTTTTTTAAGATTTATTTATTTTAAAGAGAAAGAATGTGCTTGCACATGAGCAGGGGGAGGGGCAGGCGGAGGGGGAAAACCCTGAAGCAGACTCCCCACCAAAGTCAAGAGCAAGATGCTTAACTGACTGAGCCACCCAGGCACCCCCAAAATCCTGCATTACTTCTCAATGTCAGGTTAAAGTCTAAATTTATTAGAGTAACATTCAGGGTCCACTACAATCTGGCCATAACTGAGTCTGCTGCATATAGTTTATGCACTTAGTACTCTCTGTAACTCTAGGGGGTTCCATTCCAATTACGGTCTGCCTGAGTGGTGCCCCTAGGGTTTTTGTAGTGCAGCACAATCATACATGGTAGCCCTGACCATTCTGTCTTAATACCCTCACCTCTCCATCTTCTGTACACATCTTAGACTTACATAAATAGGATACCTCCAGTCCCTAAATGCACTATACTAGTGACTTCTCAATGCCTCTCCTCTTTCAGAGTGAATATTCTTTCCTCCCACTCATTCTCTGCTTGTTGAAATCCTCATGTTTCAGGGCCTAGTTTAAGTGTCAGATCCTCTATGAAGCCTTCTACAATCCCTCTCATTTTAATTGTTTTTCCTATTGAGCTGTTACCCTGCTTATACCTTTTATTTAACAGTTCTTTTTTCTTTTTCTTTTGAGATAAAACTTATATGCAGTAAATCTTCAGTGAACCATTGGGCGAATTCCTGCAAATGCTTCTACCTGTGCTTCCCAGACCCCTATCAAGATATGATCATACCTTTTTACACATTTATAATTGGCCTGCTAGTATGGTTAATCATTTTCATGCTTGTCTGCCTTACTAAATTATAAGCTCTAATTAGAGAAAAAAAACAAAGACTATGACTTTGTCTCTTTCACTTGGAAAAAAGGAGCACATACGATGTATTCAGCACTGAACCAGTGTTGACTGTTGTACCAGTTAGTAAACAACTCTGCTCCTCTCAAGATATTCTCAAAGACAGTGGCTTAAATAAGACAGAAATTTTATTTCTTTCACATACTTCAATTTAAAGTATAAGTTGTCCAGTGCTGATCTGGCAGCTCCACGGTGTCAAGGACCTAGACATCTTCATTCTTGTTCCTGCATCCCCTTGTCCTTCCACCATCCCTGAAGTGTTACCACCCGTTCTAGGTGACTCACCACAACATCCCATCCAGCTGGGGAAGGGAAAAAAGTGAAGAGCTCCTCTTGGAAGTTGCACTTACTTGCCAATGACCAGAACATAGTCACCTGACCATACCAGTTAAAAGTCAGGAATATTAGAGAAGAGAATAGATACTGAGGAACAGATAACATACATACTTCATATATGGTTTCATTTAATCTTCATAATAACACTGCAAACTATGTAGCATAAGAAAACTAATATCAGAGAAGCCAAGTAAATGGCTAGAAAATTGCAGATAGGAGATCTGAATCCAAAGCCTTTACTTTTTTCATTCTACGTAGTTAAGTGTTAGGAGGACGTACATAAATGTTACTAAATAAATAAAGTCATCTTTACAGTGTTATTTCACATATTTTTATATCACATAGTTTCACAGTATCATATCATCTCTTTAATTCCAGGACACCCTATATAACTTTACTCCATGCTTCTCACCATCTTGAAATGCCATATCAGCTGGTTTGTAACCAAGGCCTAGTTTATAGTACAATTTAAGACAAAATGACTACTTCTTTTAAAGCTATGATATCATATGAGGAAAAGTATATCACTGTATTTCCCAAGCAATAGCTTCAATACTCTGTATTTATTTGGAAATGCTATATAATCATAAAGTTGAAGGAGATTATATTATTTAGCCCCTTAGTTTTATTTATTTTTTTCTAAAGATTTTTATTTATTTGAGAGAGGGTGAGAGAGAGAGAGAGAGACCACGCTAAGGGAGAGGGGCAGAGGGAGAAGCAGGCTCCCCACTGAGCGTGGAGCCCAATATGGGACTCAGTCCCAGGACCCTGGGATCATGACCTGAGCCAAAGGCAGACGCTTAACCAACTGAGCCACCCAGGCGTCCCCAGCCCCTTCATTTTAAAAGAAAGGAAAATTGAGGTTCATTGAAGATACAAGACTTATCCTTTATTTCATTCTCATTGCTGCTGCTTTTCAAGCATCATGGGAAGAGCACTAGCCTAATCAGTCATTTCTGTAAGTAACCTTCGTTGTTATACTAAAGAATTGTCTCAGGTTTGCAGAGTTGTATGATTAGAAAAATCAAGGGGCGCCTGGGTGGCTCAGTTGGTGAAGCACCTGACTCTTGATTTCAGCTCAGGTCATGATCTCAGGCCTGAGATGAAGCCTCAGGTGGGGCTTCTCGCTCAGCAGGGAGTCTGCTTGAGATTCCCTCTCTCTCTTCTCCCCTCCCCTTGCATGTGCACACTCTCTGTTTCCCAAAAAAATATTAAAAAAAGAAAGAGAAAAATCAAGCTGAACAATGCATAAAGAAATGCTTATTATCCTAGCCTTTTTTAGTGAAGAATGGATATTATCTAACACTAAAAACATCTTTATAGCCCTTGGGAACCTGTTCTAGAAAGGATCAGTATTTGATAATCAAATAAAAGGAATGGGTGAGATCATACCTATCCATAATTCAAAACCTAGTACAAATGTTACCTACCTCTCAAAGCCTTTCCTAAACCTCAAAAATAGATGTAACCACTTTCCTCTCCCAATTCTATAGCCTTTGGATACCTCAGGGTACATATATATACAGTTTAAGTTATAGCTAATGGTACCTTTGGGAAGATAGGTTTCATGTTTCTTTTGTTCTCAGTGTCAGTGGTGCCCAGTACAGGCTTTGCTCTTACTTGGCAATGTTTTATCAAATGAACATATCCACCATGGCACCCTGGGAGAATACTTTGCAGTTGCCTTCATTTGTTTTGTTTTGTTTTAAGATTTATTTATTTATTTATTTGACAGAGAGACAGCAAGACAGGGAACACAAGCTGGGGTGGGGATGGGAGAGGGAGAAGCAGGCTTCCTGCTGAGCAGGGAGCCTGATGCGGGGCTCAGATCCCAGGGTCCTGAGATCTTGACCTGAGCCGAAGGCAGATGATTGATGACTGAGCCACCCAGGCGCCCCTGCAGTTGCCTTTAATAATCAGTCCTTGAATGAAGAATTTCAAAGCTGTAGTCCCAGTTCCCGTGCTTATCGCTTTGTAGCTCTAGGCAAGTCGTTTAATGCCTCTGAGCCCTTATCAGTCAGATGGGAATGTGAATAATAGAAAATAAAGAATTGGTGAAAAAACTTTGTAAAAGGAACACAGCTCTAAGGTGGTACTCTCTGAAGCCCCTTGCCACACTCCACAAAAGTGCCTAACATGTAGCAAGTAAACATAAACTTTATTTTTCCTAATTGAGTTGAATAGTAATGGGATCCATTTATTAATATCTAAGTTTGGTCCTAGCAGTTGGCAAACCTTTGTTGGAGCTGGAAAACTTTACCAAGGGAAGATAAAATTATCTTCCTTGCGTAGGCTGCCTCTCCTACCCTAGGACAGTTTCGTTATTGAACCAAGGGATTAATGAAAGAGGAAGCAGCCTGCTGCCCAGGGATTTTCTTGGTGCTTCCTCCTGGGTGGGCATACGCTGGACCTGGGAGACAGAACAGGAACTTGCTGTCCTTCATTTTCCTTCTCACAGGAACCACCCAGGGGGGGGAAAAAAGGAACTACTGCCAGAGCGACAGATGTGGGTGGATAGGGACTCTCCTGGGTTCAGGGGGATTGCCCTGGGTGGGTGGGGGTGCTTTGCATTCCGCTTGCCAGGTACCTTCTGGGGTATCAGTGACTTAGTCTTTTCCTCCTGTAGTGGAAGGAAACCAGCAAATCAGACCCAGAATAAAGAAATTACCATGGAAGGCTTTCTTAAAAATGCACTTAAAAGAGTGAAACCATAACTAGAAGAGTGCTTCCAAGGCAGAGGTTGCTTTAGCTTGGATCTCCTGGGTTTAAGCAATGAGATTTGGGTTTGAGCATGTTTACTATAAATAAAACCATTTCCCTGGAGCCTGGCAAGTTTTGCAGCAGGCATACCAAAATGTAATTGAAATGTGACTGCCTCTTAAATTGTGAAATTAATTTTACACTTAACAAATGCTTTAAAAAAAAATAGAGGAACAAGTGGCTTTAAAGTTCAGGGTGTTAATATTTGAAATCTGTCCAATTTAATTAGTTGGGTCCCAGTGACTTTTTCTCTGGTCAGTGTCACTGATCTAACACCCAATTCTCTTCTTGATTGTGAGATAGAAATTAATTGTATCATTTATTTAGTTGTATTGACCTGAATCGTATCTCTCCAGCATACATTATTTCAGGAAATAGGATGCATCCATGTGGAATTTACTCAGTAACTCTTCTTAGTGACATTTGTGTGATCTAATTCAAGGACCTGTAGTGAAGCCTTCACATGATTTACTTGCATATGATGCAGCTGTGTTTAGTATTGCATTTACATTTTTAAAAACAAGAATGCACCTTCTTGATGGAACAGACATGCATTTTTAGACTCAGCAGACTCAAGAACTGTAGAACAAAGAAGTTTCTTCAAAATCAAGTCCAAACATCTTTTTTGTATTGGAGAGAAAGAAACTTGGGTTCAGAAACATTTAGTGGCCCTGAATCAAGGTCACAGTCATTCAGTGATAGAACAAAATAAGAAACTAGATGGGTTTCCAATTCAAGGTTCTTGTTTGTCTCAGATTTTAAAATATAGATGTGTTTTATGTTGACAATTTGTCATTATGCGCAGCTTTTTAGGACAGTGATAGGTAACTTAGCCACATAGTTACTTAAACCTCTCATTTCTGCATTAGCATTTTACACTATATTATAGTCCTGATAGCTGCCTATCCTTATTTTCTTTGCCTGCTTGTATACCTATTTTTAATCTTGCTTATATTTTTATAAGCTGCCTTAAATCCTTCTTTGAATGATACAGTGTCCAAGTGAATAAAGTACTCAAAGTGATACTTTGTGTTAATGCTGATTATTTATTTTTCCATAGTATCTATGGCATGTCAGAGATCCTGGCAATGTTAGTTATTCTAAGAGCATTTCATCTTTTTTATCTATCAGAGGTAGCAGTAGAAACAAACTTCCTAAGTGGAATGCCTAAAAAAATTACCATTCTTTTATTTCTTCAGAAAGCAGTAACACTCTGATCCTCAAAATAAAAACTTTGAAATTGTTTTTAGAAGCCTGAAAATGACTTAGTGTATTTAGTACTTAAAATGAAAGACTGGCTGATAGGATTGAAATATTACCCAGATATTTTAAAAAGCATTGCAGTTTATGGTCAGCTGATTTCAATAAGAGTGCCAAGGCCATTCAGTGGGAAAAGAATATCCTTTAGTGCTACGGCAGTAGGATAGCTGCATGGCAAAGAAAGAGTTTGGACCCCACCTCATACCGTACATAGATTAACTGAGTGTGGATCAAAGATCCAAATGTAAAAGCTTAAAAGTATAAAATTCTTTAAAGGAAACATAGATGAAAATTTGCATGACTTGTATTAGGCAGCAATTTTTTAGATAGGACATGAGAAAAGCAAGCAACAAAAGAAAAAATAGATAAAATCAGACATCAAAATTAAAAACACTATCAAGGAAATACAATCTATAGAATGGGAGAAAAGTTTGCAAATTACATATATCTGATAAAGCTCAAGTTTCCAGAATATATAAAGAAGTCTTACAAATCAACAATATGAGGACAAATAACCCAATTAAAAAGTGGACAAAGGAGTTGACTAGATAGACATTACTCTAAAGAAGATATACAGATAACCAATAAGCACTGGAAAGATGTTCAACATCATTAGGGAAGTACAAATCAAAACTGTGATGAGATACCACTTCACACCCATTGGGATGCATATAATTCAAAAATGGATGATAAATGTTAGTAAAGATGTAGAGAAATTGGGACTCTTACTCATTACTAGTGAAATATAACTTGGTACACATCCAAGCAGCTTTGGCAGTTCCTTAAAAAGTTAAATAAGGTTATCCTCTAACCCAGCAGTTCTGCTCCTAGGTATGTATCCAAGAGAATTGAAAACCTGTTCACACAAGTATGCATACACAAATAGTATAGCTTTCTTCAGAATAATCAAAAAATGGAAAGAACTCAAATGTCCATTAACTGAGGAATGGATAAACAAAATGTGGTATATTCACACAATGGAATATTACTCAGACATAAAAAGCAATGAAGTACTGTTATATACTACCACATGGATAAACCTCAGAAATTTTATGCCATGTGAAAAAAGTCAGACACAAAGGCCGTATATTATATAGTCCCATTTATATGAAACGTCCAAAATAGACAAATCCATAGAGTCAAAAAGCAGATTAGTAATTGCTGGGGGATTGATGGGAGAGGGGATTGGGACTAACTGCTAATAAGTAGTTTATTTTTGTAGTGATAAAAATGTTCTGGAATTAGATAATGGTGATGATTGTACAACATAATGAATGTACAAAAAGCCACAGAAATGTACACCTTATTTTTTTTTTTTAAGATTTTATTTATTTATTTGACACAGAGAAACAGTGAGAAAGAGAACACAAGCAGGGAGAGTGGGAGAGGGAGAAGCAGGCTTCCCGCAGAACAGGGAGCCCGATGTGGGGCTCGATCCCAGGACCCTGGGATCATGACCTGAGCCGAAGGCAAAGGCTTAATGACTGAGCCACCCAGGTGCCCCAGAAATGTACACTTTAATATGGTGAATTTTATATTATATGAATTGTATTTTAATGAAATACTACAATTTTTTAAAAAGCATTGTGTACCCAAAATAAAAGGACAGATGAAAGATTAGAGACTGAGATTATGAAGGATTTCCAATCATAAAGAAGTGAAATAATTTGGTACCTCCAAACCCCCCATGACTGATAGAGAACTTTATCTATTATGTGGCTTCAGAAGATTAAGAAAGGTCCTGTGGTGTGGCTTTTACAGGTGGACAGGAAAAATCAGAATCATTACATGGCCCTCTGCTCAGAGCCAAGGAATGTGGTTAGAAATGTTATGCAAATTGAGATGATAAAACCAAATTACCTCCACTCAGTAAATCACCTGTAGTTCAGAAACAGCAGGGAGGTTGGAAAACTAAAAGGGAGTGTGGGTAGGACTGAAGGGATGTGATTTTTCTTTTTTAATGTACAATCCAACAGCACCTCTCCCTAGATTTTGTGCTAAAATAAGAGCATTTTCACACATTTTAATTGCTCTGCGATAACAACAGTGTGAACTCCATCCACAAACATTTATTATCTACTTAATTTTGCTCTAATTTCAGTGTAGCAAGAACTCACCTTGTAAGTGGGAATAACTGTCCGTTTAGTAAAAAGAAATCCCTTCCCACATTGCTAATCCTATTGTGCATTTCTGTAATAAAGTATTAATAACAAATGGCCTTTTATATTTCTCCATTTTAAGGTTGCGTTTTTAGATTACTATTTTCAAAGTAGCATCTTTATGAACTGGAACCCCACTTGCTCCTTGAACATTAGTAAAGAATATTAAAATTGAAGAAGTTAATGTTTCTTAAGATTTCTAATCAGGATTTTAGATGAGACTTATATGCCTTTATAAACTTTATAGTACTTGGTGCTATAATGTTCATGATAAACTATACGGAACTGTCTATAAGATGCATTTAGAAATGAGATTTGTATAATTTCATAGCTATCTAAATTGTTCTGATTATTTTCCAGACCTGTCATATACTCCATCCTTTATAGTGATGCTACAGAACAGAGAGGAATGGATAAAAATATTGGCGAGCAACTCAATAAAGCTTATGAAGCCTTTCGACAGGCATGTATGGATAGAGATTCTGCAATAAAAGAACTACAGCAAAAGGTATATGGTTTTGGTTTTGAAAGTTCTTATTTATTCTGGCAAATGGAAATTTGAGAATCTTTTGCAAGTGAAAAATATTGTATTGTTACAAACCTTCTTGAAGAACTGTAATAACTAAAACACTGAGATATATATTAATGGATGAAATTTAAGATTCTTATTTGTTTTTTATTTAAAAAATAACATTTTTTTATTTTTAAAAATAAAATTATTTTTAAAATTTAAAATTTTTTAGGAAAAAAAAACACATTGTGACCTGAAGGAATAGTTCATAAAGAGCATCATCCTCCATAAATAATTTTTAATTTTCAGTTTCAAAAGATGGTAATTAGAAGAAAGGTATATTTCCTAGGCATAAATTTAGTAGTTCCCAGGCACATGTCTGTCATTGGTCCATGATTAGGTCTTCACTGATCTGCAGCAAAATGAGAAAAATAAGAATGTAATGAACTTCTCGTAATGCTAAATTTATCCAATTCAAAATTCTGTCCTTTATTCTCATACTGTGTTTCCATACTATCAGATTTTAGGGCAGGATTTTATTAACACACACTTTTGTGAGATGCTAATGATAGAGTTTTTATTTGCTTATTTAATATCACTATTTAGGAGTGTTTTGGGGGTCCCAGTACCAAAAAACACATTCTGTGTTGTCCAGAGGGACTCACAGGACTTAGCATACAGTAACACTCACAGCTAAGATTTATTACATTGACATGATAAAGATACACAGTCAGATCATTAATGTAAAACATCAGGCAGACTCTGGAGGGATCCACATGCAGGCCTCCTATGCTCTTTCCCTCCAGTGAGGGGTCACACAGAGTGCACCCTGCCTCCAGCTTCAAAAACTTAGTCACTCAGGTGCAGTCCTTCTACATAGGGAACTTCATTTGAAACTCAAGAATTCAGGGTTTTTATTAAGAGCTGGTCACATAGATATCCTATGTCAATCAAAATTTCAGACTCTCAGAAGGAAAGTAGGTCTTCCCCATAAATCTCATGGTACAGTCTAATTAAGCTGGCACAACAATCAACTTTATTACTTTATCGACTTTATCACAAGTCAGGTTCCCGGATGCCAGCCAAGGGCCAACCTTGCAATAGTTTCAACAGGCAGTTGAAAGTGGGAGATCTTGAATTGGTTACCTCATTTAAGAAACAATTTTATTAGCCTTAAAATTCTAAAGTCTAGAATATGCTAGCCATGCAATTCTTAGTCACTTCCATAAATATAGGAACTACACAATTCTCTTCATCCTTTCTACTTGACACATCTATAAAACTAGATGTTATACGTACTTCCCTGTATTTCTCAGAAATCATTATTTGTGATTCTCCTGTTTGTTTGCAAAAGATTACTTCCAGTTATATGGGTAGACTTGTGGACTAGGTCTTCCTTAGGGGTACACAGGAGAAACAGGGGCATAACAATGACAGGGAGTTTTCCAAATTATTGAAGTTTAGAATTTGGATTTCTTTGCGTTTCCAGTTCAGGTATAAAGCATAATCACATTTTAAAAAACAAGAACAACAACAAAATCCCAACTTTTATTCTTCTTATTTTCCCATTAGGTTCGTTAAGAAACTTCAACAATCTTATACTTGTTCTAGGAAAGTTAGGAAACAGAATTAGGGAAGAGGAGTATTGAGATATTCTTAGGTTGAGGCAGAAACAGAAATTTCTCTAACTGCTCCTCTGCCTTCACTGCCAATGGTAAGCAACCAGAAACTTGTGATTTAACTTTTTAACTGCCATGGAAAAAGCCTTTGCTCACATCAGCAATTATCCAAAGGATGGTAAAGGGATATATATATATTTT